TAATTCTTCAATCAACATTAAAAAGAATTCGTTGATAAAAAAACAGTTTTAAACTTATTTAAAACTAAAGATTTAAAATCATCTAACTGATTTATATTAGATAAGGAATATCACCGTCTACCTTGTGGATGAACTACTTATTAGAAAAAAGGAGAACGCACTTAAATGCCATTCGAATGCATCTTTATTCTCATAACGGAACATTCGATAAAAAAAAGAGACTCATGTTGGATAGTAAGTACTCAGCGTTTTACCGCTATGAACTATCCAAGGCAAAGAATCTGATGCTAAGATTTTACGTTTTGTCTTACGAAAATCGTGATGTCTGACAAACACACATCAAGTTATATTGTAAGATGCGCGCGAGATCTTACTTCTAAGATATTATTACAAGATCTTAGGGAAATCTACGTGTCGGTAAGGTCTTACATGTATCTTACAATATGACTTGCTGGATATTTTTCTGACACGCACGATTTTTCTGATTTTACAAGTCCTACTTTCTGATTGGTTAACCTGGATAACTACTTGATGATAAAAGCAATTATATTTATTGGATACGAATTACCTATTTTAGGCTATTGATGTGGATGTGGATGAGGGTGCGAATGTCACAGAAAATCTGTTTTACACCGACACCCTCAAGCGAAAAATTTCTATAGTTATTAAAACGAGAAAGAAAAATAAATAATGTTCATTACTTAAAGTATCTTTGTGATGTTTTAGAACAAAAATTGACTGTCTGTGCAATAGCTACCACTATCTCAGCCTGATTTATCGTCACTTTCACTACTTTGTCATCATTTTTATCATTTCATCACTCTTACCATGTGAATGGTCACAAAAATAATTAAGTCTCTAAGACGATGGCCTCATCGACCACACATGCAACCATTTGTAATATTTTTGTGGTTACTTATACTACGTATTACAGATGAATATACAGACACAGGTGAATTTTTTATTCCAGACACGATTCTTTCAGCTTAGGGAAAAAATAAATCATTGTAATGTAATTTTTGATTTCGTTTTACAATTTATGAATCTTTAAATAAATATCAAATCCTCTGTACGAACAGTGAGAAGAAGAGAACAAGAAATATCATTTTTGATCCCATAATAAGAGCAGAGCTATTAAAAGGATGACTTAGACGTTACCAATACTTTTTTCTATAATCATGGCTGATCGATTCAAGGAGAATATCAGTGAGATTAGGTAAAGTAACGTGAAAGAGCGAAAACAACAAATATTTTTTTTCTCATTCATATGATCAGATCAACGTAGCAATTATTTTATTGTTGTTGATCAACTCACAGCTTCATCCATACGTTTTCTTCACTCGTTACTCCTTTGCGAGTAATCAATACAACAGTAAATCAGTATTGTCATAGAATGTCTTGGCTACTATTGCTCTTAATTACTTTTATTACTAAAGCGTATGCCATCGATTTATATACTCCATGGATAATCTCAGCCGGTCCAACCTATGCTTCCTACAAGTTCAACGTCCTTCAACATCTCGCTAGCATCTCGCCTTATTTTGAAACTAACCCTGATGGACTAAACCCTGATCCTCCTCAAGGTTGCAAAGTCGGCAAAGCCGTCTATCTCGTGCGCCACGGCTCTATTTACGTGAACGACAATCATTACCTATTGACTATCGAACCATTTTTGCAACGTCTCAAGAACTCGTCTTATTACGTAGACTTTTCCAATTCGACAGACTTAGCTTTCTTAACTCACTGGACCTCACCCATCTCAAATAGTGATGAACAAATAGAAAAACTTACCAAACTCGGGTTTCTCGAATCATTTAACTTTGGCACTCGCCTCGCATACCGATATCCAGATTTACTACCCGTAAAAAAGGATGCGTCTTTCAAGGTCTGGGCATCAGATTCAAACCGAACATTGCGAAGTGCTGAGGCACTCTTTGCTGGACTTTATGCTGGACATGAAACGATTGGCAAGGTGGTTAGCATCTCAGAAGACAAGGATGAAGGAGCCAATACGCTAACACCGAGGAGAACCTGTCCAAGATTTGATGGTTCAAACGGTTGGAAACTAGCGAATATATGGCTAAAATACTACACAGTGCCAATTATAGCGCGATTGACCGCTGAGGGATCGGGATTTCGCTTTTCGGCCGAAGATGTGCTGGCGATGCAAGAACTGTGTGGATACGAAACCATCATTCGAGGTTCTTCACCATTTTGTGGACTTTTTACGTCCGAGGAATGGTTATCTTTCGAGTACTATTCTGATATCAAGTACTACTATGAGTTGGGTTACGGGAATACTATATCACATAGCCTTGGTATGCCTTGGGTCATTGCAACGAGCGATCTTCTCAGTCAAACAGATGCCATGGATCAACATTTGTACATTAGCATCACCCATCGACAAATGCCACCTTTTGTTTTAACAGCATTGGGTTTATATAACGATTGTGACTACATTAGCACGACAAATATAAACCATACGCTTCCACTCGACCAAATTAATTATATGCGGACATGGAAGACGAGCAGCTTCCTGTCATTTATGGGTCACATTGCATTGGAACGACTTGATTGTACATCTGCTGCGTACACTGGATCATTTGTGAGAGTTCTTGTCAATTCGGCACCGAAGCCTTTACCAGGATGTATGAATGGTCCGAGTGCTAGTTGTCCCTTAAAACAGTACAGGGATTATGTCAAGCATCGCAGTGCTTCATATGAAAACTTTTCAAAAGCTTGTGGGTTGGAAAACAAAAATGTCGCTGAGGCGTTGAGTTTTTTTGTGAAAGAAAATTTTATTTAGAGATTTGTGGCGTAGCTTTAATACATACTGATTGGGTACTTATTAGTGCTGGATAGTCAACATGTTCAGCCTCGAAAGCATCAATGATAAATTCCAACTTCATGCAAATGGCAAGCATTCAAAACGTGCAAATGCATTTGTTTAACAGAGAGATTTCTGAGACAAATAAGACGATGACGAGCATGATCAAATCTATTTTTCAGATTCTATATAGTTATATTTTGAAAAAATGAAGATATTGGTTTACGATTTTAATCCTTGTTACATATCCTTCGAAGAAATGAATGTCACTGGAGAGATCGGCAAATCAACCACTCTATCTCTAAAATTGCATAAAGGGTGTGGGTGGGTATCGGTGGAGGGAAAACATTCACAACCACACCCACACCCTCGAATTCATTTACGCGGAGATATCAGTTGTGCGACACTCGATGAAACAAAAAGCTAACTTTTTGTGTGATAATGTCCTTCTTTTTGCCAGTGAATGAAAGAATTCTGAACCTTCACAAAATGTTTCACGTGGTTTACGCTTGAAAGTAAATCCTCATGGCAAATATGCGTATTGACTGCAAACTTTTCTGTGATAATCAGTCTTCAATAGAATAGGGCCGAAAAAGAATGGGAAAAAAGAACATATGTGTATTTGTTTGCCTATTACTAGAGCGCCTCTTAGTTATACTGTTATACTTCACAAATACACGATCAGGCAATTGTTACGATGCGCTCTTTCGTTTTACTTTTTCTCATCACCCTCTCCTGTTTTACTGTTGAGGCACTTCCAAAGAGTCAGCTAGGCAAGACTCATGCTGGTGAGCTTCTATCTTTTTCAAAAGGATATTACAATGAATTTCTCCTAGGTTCCTGTCCGCCTATTCTAATGTGTGCCCCCTATTGTCCACCTGTACCGGCCAGTCAGGCCATTGCAGCGTGTGCAAACAAACCGGATTGCTGTGTGAGAGACAGTCAATGTAATCTGGACGAAAAATGCTGCCAATATGGTTGTGGCTGTAGCAGGCGATGTACCAAAGCTCAAGAAATGACACGGTGAAAAATGAAGCCTTAAAGTATAACTTGATCTTTGATGATACAATAAAAAAAAATCAGAAATCCTGATGATATCCTTTCAATTCGATCTCTAGAGTTAATACGTTGAACATACAGCCGAATACAATACTTGTTCTTTCCAAACAAATCAGCGATCTTCTTTGAAGCTAGAGAACGTTTCTAATTGATAGATTTCTTTAAAATAACATCTTTTAAATTAAAACTAGAGAAAATCTGAGATTGCGCTAATACTCAAATGCTTCCGGTACCCTGAATCTTAGGCTCTTTAGAGGTCTGTGGGCTGAAACTTTGTAGGAATACCTTTCTCTATACACCCTGATCGGCGACACAAACTGCAGTTTGAACGCGTTCACATTTCATAAGATCCAGAGTGATAGATGGTCTTTGTTTCAATCGTCGTATCTCATAAGTTACCCAATCAAATGCAATACAATGCTAATCTACGATCATTTTTTTAACATATTTAATTGAGACACCGATTCAGAACCCAACAGAAATCTATGTATCACCTTTGACCTATACAACTGCAAGTTGTGTTGAACTGATTAATCAACTTCTGTATAGTCGAGAAGAGAATGTTATTGCAGTTGTTTTCATCAATACTAAAAAAAATATGATTATCGACTACTCTATTGTATGGTTGCAGAAAGAAAATCGTCGTTTGGCTTTTTCACATCGGTGTGCGAAAGAGAAAAAATCCACCAAATCAAAGATAACGCTCTAGATTGCTGGTTCTTATAGGGAGTGGGTGTGGATATGGGTCACTTCAGTGTCATCTCACACCCACACCCGACATCCACCCTGATTTCTCGGCTCTGCTAAATCTGAAATAGTCCTTTCTCTCGATGATGATTTGTAAATAGGAAAGACTTTCGGCTTTGTATGAATAATAATAGTGTTTCTATAAATCGAATATGTACTGTGCCCATTTAGGTAAAAGGTCGCCAGTATTTATTTTATAGCCAACTTCAATAAAATCTTTTATTTCAATATTCAAACATGTTTGACTGATATTTTTATTTGAACTGGTTTTTAAAGCCATGTAATGTTCTTGAACACGTTTTTTTAACTCATTGAAATTAATTTTACCTTTGTCTAATTGAATCATATGTAGAGTTTTAAATTTTGACTATTCGATTAAAACTTCATTTGTATTTTCATCGTATTCCATTCCACTAGCAATTAATTCTGCTCTAATTTTATGTTCATATGAACGTGATAACATTTCATCATCTGTTTTTATCACATTTTTTGTTGTTTTATGGAATTTTAAATAGTGCTCAATTGTTAAAATAACCTTTAGAAGAACATCATCAGTATAAATATTTCCTTTTCTCCCTGCAGTTCGACCAATATCAATCATAAAACCCATAATCATTTGTTCATTCATTAATTCATGATTAGGATACTTCGTTGCAAGTACATCAGCAGCAGTCATGTGTAAAAGAAAATGTGCACTCGAGTTATTCGGTTCAATATTTCCATAATAATCTTTCATTTTTTTTTTGTCG